AATTAATAAGCACTTTTTATATATAAAATTACTAAAAAGGTTATGTAAGTGATAGTAGTGGGATGGAGTAGTTGGAGTTGAGTTGAGATAAAATTAAATTTTTAAAAAATAATTTGACTTTTGGCTTATGCTTTTTTTCAAAAGAAAGGAACCTTAACTCCAAGGGTCAAATTTCTTTACAAGCAACCTGTCTCAATGGCTTGCGGATAATATTGGTTGAGGAGCTATCAGATCCTCATCAGTTCCCCGAGTAACTGTGTTCCTCTTAACATGCTAGAAATTATGCATTGGAGGAACCTAGTGCATCATGGTGGTGTGGCCATTCCTTTGGAAATTAAGGATTGAAAAATTAGGGGGCTAGCTTTGGATGTGGATAAAGCTTTCAATGATGTGGAAAGAACGAACATGGCAGCTTTGGTATTAGGAGCTAGTAACATTCTCACTAATATATCATGGCAATTCCCTGAGCTTGGATTTGTTAAAATCAATACTAATGGTGCAGCTCGTAGTAACCCAGGTTAGGGAGCCTGTGGGGGTATGATACGTGATTCGCAGGGCGTGTGGATGTGTGGGTTTGCCCTCAGACTGGGTGTGTACAGCTCCTTTAAAGCTGAACTATGGGGCATTCTTCATGGTTTAGAGATGGCATGGAACGTAGGGCATCAAAATGTCATTTTAGAGAGTGATTCCTCTAGTGGAACGTAGAGTGATTCCTCTAAGTGTGATGGAAAATCTTCCCTATCTTCCATTAATATTTATTTCATTTTATAGAAGGCCTTTAGTTATAAAAATGAAAGTGTTTCTTCTAATAATATAAAAATGAGTGTTTAGTTGAATCTTCAAATCATTAATATACGAAAAACATAATGTATCTGAAAATATTTAAAAAAAAATTAGAAGAGGAGTGTACGAAAAAAAATAAGTACATATATATTTTTATTAAAGCACTGAGAAAAAGACAAACATTTATAATTTCATTAAAATCTTCTTTATATACTTTTTTTTACTTCAAAAGTTTTTTATTTATACTTTAAATTTTGACAAACTTAAGCACAAATTTATGCAAACACCCAGAGTTGTGAAAACTGACAGGGTTGACTTGGAATTCGATGAACTAGTCATCGGACCTGTTTGAATCAAGTATCGGACCGGCCATGGATCGAACCCGATCAAACCTAGTGACCCGGTCGTGTCATGCATTTTTATAAATAAAAAAATCAAAATTGTTTCATATTGTCAGAAAAAAATATAGAACTCATTTTAAAAATTTTGTAATTTTATTTGCAAGTAGTATTATAGTATACTCTTCTACAATGACCCCAAATTTCAACTTCCAATACTGAAGTAATTTGCGAAACAATAAATTAAGATAATGTGACATGTGTCATTTCAATGTGGATGAATTTGAAAAATATGAGTTAACAACATCTGACCTTTTGAATGTCATTAAGAGCTATGCTACGAGATTTTGAGTTGCAATTTAATTGACATAGTAATAGCGTGTATTTTCATTTATTTGTGCTTTATGAACTTGTAAAAGTGTGATTGGGTAATTTTTGATCTTATTTAGTTAACCTTGTTTAACTCATTTTAGATATGAAGAATATAATTAAATTTATATGTTCATATTTATAAATATTTTTATATATCCGGATCAACCAGTCCAATAAGTAACCTACTAGTCCAACTAGTGACCCAATACCCTAACCTAGTCAATGTCCGAATCAGATTTAATAAAACTGCAAACAACATCTTTAAAAGAAACTAAGCAAACCCCACTTGATTTCAGATCCTAACACATATTTATTGAAACAAAGCTCCTATCTCATTAATCCTTGGTCTAAAATCATTTTAGGGGAAAATCCTAGAATGCAATCAGTATAGGTGCGATCAGTCAATAAAAACGCGCACGTCAACTGTCTTTGTACTGGAGAAGGAAAAAAAGCGACTTTTGTAATTTACACTATGTACTACCGGTAATACATAGTATAAATTACAAAAGTCACACCTAATTCAATACCATCGTCGTACTAAAAGCAGTGTTTAAAAATCCGGCCCGGCCATCGACTCGACCGAGGTCAGGAGGTCACGGGATCACTTCGCTGACCCGGTTTTATATATATATATATATATATATATATATATATATATATATATATATATATATATATAGGGAGGGTTCTTTTGACTCTAGTACTCCCCGTCTCAGCTGTTGAAGGACGGAAATCAACGGTTGTCATTTATAGTGTAATTAATAATTAATTAATTAATATAACTTCCTAGACTATAACTGTTGGATGGACGAAAATCAACGGCTAGGATGGGGAGTAAGACTTATAAGTCTTATTTTGGAGTCAAATGATCTCTCTCCTATATATATTCTACAGAAAAAATTCAAAAAAATCAAACCACCAATCATTAAAGATTCAAAATATACTTAACATAATTCAACCAATTACATTCACAAGTCAATATTCACAAGCTAATCAAAGTATAAAACACATATTCCAATGGAGTTAATGAAAAGTTATATCATCAAACTTAGGTCCTTCTTGTCCTTCTCATGCACCTACAACAGTATGTGAAAATAGATCCTTTATCCAATAGAGAATAGCGGAGGAAAGTCAGCGACACGATGAATAACGGTGGGGAGAGAAGAACCAGCATGCTGGAGGAGATCACTGAAACAGGGAGACTGGGTCTGGGAGAGAAGATCAGAAGAGAAGAAGAATAACGATTCATATTTCATATCTAGTTCTAAATCTAGGCAGCAACGAGTTTTTGTTTTTGTTTTTTATTTTTTTATACATCAAACGATGTCATTTCGCGTATAATTTTTTTTAAAACAAAAAATGTAGTGACCTATTTAATCTCTCTAACCCGAGAGTTACAGATTTAATCAGAGATTTTTGGGGGTTTGAAGAATAACATATAAATAAGATCTAACTACTAAAATGTATCCTTAAAGGTGGGTCAGTTATCCGAAGGGTCGATCCCGCGATTTAAATCATTAGTGCGCTCCATTTTAGGAGAAGAAATGTAGTGCTCCTGGCCCATAAAATTTGGGGTGCTCCTTCTCACAAAACATGGAGGCAAAATGGGAAAAGAAAAAAATGAGAGAGGCAAAAATAGAAGAAAAAATTTACTCATGTAAAAGAGACCACCAAATAATAAAATAGGCCTGAATCACTTAATTATTTTTCCCATTTTAGAGGCCTAGACTCGCCTATCACAAAACAACAAAATTCCCTTACATTCAGGTCCCGTGCGGGGAATCTAAAGCATGATTGCACACTTTATGTCAATCTAAAGATATTTCGAATGCAAAATTATTAGTATTTTTTCTCCTTTTTGTTTGGATTTCAAGTTTCAACATTTTGTATCTATCAGGTTGTTGTGACCTTTTTTGTGTAATACAGCTCAACAAAATTTTTCAATCAATAATTCTTTCCAACAGTTTGTGGCTGCACCCAATTCTTCAACGAGCAAATACAAATCCAAAACCCCATTTTAAAAGTTAATCGACCGAGAAAATTAGATGTCCTCTTAAGGAATTTTTTATTTTTTATTTTCTCTCAAATGGCTAACCTATTTGATTACAGCTTATTATGTTGTAATATTTTAAGTGATTGGTATATTTGAAACGAAAAATTATAACCAATTAAAACTCTTGTGACTAGGGTCTTCAAATTGTGAATATTCTTTTTGTAACTCATCTTATATTGCAATCATCATAATGCTATATATTGCTTTTTTCAGGGGAATGTGTATTGTGCTCATCGTAGTACATCGAGTACTTGCTGTTATAAAAGTATATTTTAATTTTGATATACTATTTTTTACACTTATATTTACCAATGTATTGTCATATGATTTAATATGTTTGGCATACCTTATTGTGTTGGATAAGAGATTAGGCACATTTTATGGTGGAATTCTCATTCTTTATGACCGGAGAAAATGTTGTATCACTAAATATTCTCCTGGAGTCTTTTTTTTTTTTCTCTAGTTACTCATTAATACAATGGGCACACCACATTATTCAAAGAATAAATGGTTGGGCCGAAAGATTTCTGAATCGAATCTCAAGTATTGAGTCAGTGACAAAAATTTCCACTCTCAAATATGTTGAGGATTAATCTCATCCCAATAGATGGAGATACCTCTAGTAAATAAAAAAATAAAATAATAAGTGGCTTCATGATTTTCTTAACTAAATTTCCTATTGCTCTCCATGAAAGCCGAATATAAAAAAGAATAAAATAAGACAAACATTACATGACAATGTACATTGCCTTTAGAAAATCAAGCCTGGGCCTCAATTGCAACCACTTGTATAATGGTACGGCAAGCCCAAGTCCATGTGAATCATTCACCTTATTCTTCTTATCAAGATCTGCTGAAGCAAAGAGTTAAAAAACACCAACCCAAAATAACCATTCATTAAGTGATTATCAACTCTCTCTTTCTTTTTCTATTTTTTTTTTTAATTTCTGCATCCATTCATGGGTTATCCGATTAATCAGATTTTAACAAGGCAGGATAACAAGAATGACAAAGCTATCCTTTTTAAGATTTTAATACAAATTTTAATTAAGAACTCAAACTCGAGACCATTAATTAAACTGGAACAATCTCTTACCAGTTGATTCACGTATTTTGTCGTATATTTTTTCTAATGTGTTGATAAATTACATAAATTTAGGTGTTACTTTCAACACAAACCTGAAAAAAAAAAGGGGTGGGAAATACACAAGAATAATAATCATAGTAAGGTGTATTAATCATAATTAATAGTAAATAGAACTTGTAGCTGCGTGATTTTCTCATGTTAGAGGCTGATACATATACTCGTTCAAAGTCCATTTCAGGAGCAGAAATATGTGGCCTTCGTTAACGGAGTGATCCTATCTTTATGTATCAACCACCTTTGGATGTAACCAAAACACTATATATACTTTGTTAAACAAGTTCCAAAAGACTCACCAATAACACCAACATACATCTATTCTGTCCTTGTGATTATTTTTTTTCAAACCCAACAAACATGTCAAGCGCCCAGCAAAACTTCAATGCAGGCCAAACCCATGGCCAGACTCAGGTTAAACCTCAAGTTTACATTGTGAACAATTTCTTTGCCTTTGCAAATTTGATATATATATATATGTAACTAATATATTATAACCTTGGATTATGGTTAGGCTAATGCAGAAGATTGGATGCAATCCACAAAGGACTCAGCCGTGGCTGCTGCAGACAGGGCTCATGCAGCTGCTAACACAACAGGACAAACTGCTGAACAAAACAAGCAGGAAGCTGCAGGTTTTCTCCAACAGGTACCTAATAATTTCTTAATTTATACCGGTGTAAGAATAAAATCTTGGGATATGATATTATACTTATCATGTTTCATGTTTATTTTATCTATTTTTCTCTAACACCGTGATTACAATCTCAGCTGACCTTCATTCTTTCCGTTTTCTCTTAAGATTATGATATAACGATATTGAAGATGAGTAAATAAAGTTGTCATTAAACAACACATATATAATAAATTAGAACTGTTAGATATGAATAAGATTAACGACTAAAATAGCGAGTGTAACTTATTAAAATATCCTGCCCCATTATTCATAATTTTGGGACAATTTTTTCTTCATGGACTTTTTGGATGAATTGTGTTTATTTTGGAAATTGGAAAGTTTGTCATTGTTAAAACCATATGTTCTTGTTGCAGACTAAAGAACAAGTGACAGACATGGCTCAAAGTGCTGTGGACAGTGTGAAGCACACACTTGGGATGGACAAGAAGTGAAACTAAGTCATCTTGGTTTCATTTGTGAAAGTGTCTAACTATTCCTTTAATTCAAATGGAATAGAATAATTTTTATGTTTCTTGCTTTTTTCCCAGTTGTTAGCTAGGGATTAGCAAAAACTAAGTATTTATATTCATTTATTGGTTATATATGGTGCTTTGTTGAAGAAAGCCAATGTCAGTTGTAATAAAATAGCTTCTTTCTATTTTTTTTTCTTGTTTTAGAGCTAAGCTTTCTGCCTTTTGGCCGATGTAATAAATGTAAGAAAAATACATATGCAATGCAAAACTAGATCTTTCATATGTATTGACGCTTGTATCCCCACTTTGTCCTCTTTAATCTTTTCATGTAGAATTTTATTTATTTATATAATTCATCATCAATAACTCGATTAGTCGGATTCAAATTGGGTATTTATTTATTTATTTATTTCCTATCAAGTTTTAAAATAATTGTATTCTCAGATACTCAAATTCGAAACCCCTGGTTAAGTTGAAACAATCTCTTACCAATTGATCTACTTGTTTGGTGGTAAATTCTTTTTAATATCCTCACCAAAAATATAAAAAAAAATCTTTTTAATATAACAGTTTCTAATGAATTCTCATTTATATCATGAAAATAATTTTTTATATAATTTTAAATTTATATCTCTCAAAATATGATTATTATTTGATTAAATGTAACTATTAAAAAAATATAATATTATAATAGATTTACATTATTATTTTAATCTCAACTAAAATTAAAAAAATTGTAAGCTCACAAATAAGTTAGTGTTTTATATTTTACCAAAAAAAAAGAGTTAGTGTTTTATAATATCCTCAAATTTTAATTTCCCAAGTGTCTTCCATTAATTTTTTGGTGTCCAATAATTGTCACTAGGCCACTCTAACACAATATTATTAAAATCGGCCCGATCATTAATTTGGTCGAGGTATTTGGTCATTGATTCAATTAGTGGATCACCAGTTAAACCGCATGACCCTGTAATTATATATAGTTTTATAATTTATATTAAAATATTATAAACATACTCAAATATCTAAAAAAATGATAAAAATTTCAAGTATTTTAATATAAAAAATAATAAATCACACATTATTATCTAATAAAGGATCAAACAAAAATATAATGATCGTGATACGGGGCTTCAGGTTTAGTAAACGACATCTCTAACTATAAATCTAATCAAAATTTTCTGCACAGTGCATAATTGAGATAATATTAGTGTTGGAGGTACATAACATGTGTAAGTCAATAAGTAAAAAATACTAAAATACGTCCATTGTGATTTTTTTTTTTAAAATAATTTGGTTTTTTGGACTGGGTCGGGTCACCGATTTTCACGAAAACTGACCAAATCACACTGCTTCTAATGCATGACCGGTCCGTTGTTTTATCCTGACCGATTTATCAATTCCCGGGTCGACCCAGCCATGCCAAGTCGATCCATTTTTATTAACATTGCTCTCACATGACAGAAACGCAAACACGTCAACAAATATTATTTTTGTTGACATAGCTAATAATAAAAGGGTAATATGTCTATCTTGTAACAGGAGAGATTTTTTATCTCCAGCTGAAAAAAAAAATATGGGACCCACAAAAGTTAAGAAAAAAAGAAGGGTTTTATTAATTTCCTTCCACATAAGATAGTTATCTTATGTGGTAGGGAGAAAATGAGTGAGTCTCACTATTGTAAGAAAAAATAAAAAGAAAAAAAAAGTAGGATGCAAAAATCGAAGTGAGAGAAAATGAGATAAGTTACCTTATATGAAATGAGAGTAATATTTCCCAAAAAAGAATGGCATAACTTTTGATGGATCCAGAGGTAGACCCACACTTGTGCAAGTGTGAGTAAGTGTAGACACAATTTTTTTTTAATTTTGTTTTTTTGGGGAGATAATGACTATACTTCAAGTTATAGCCTCTGGAATTCTTGAGCTGCACAATTAAAGAAACAGATAATTTAGCAGCAAGCAAACAATTGAAATCATGATGTAACTTTTACATATAAACAACATTAATTGTAAGTGATCTTTGAGCAAATAATGTCCATACTTGCCTCCAAAATCCTGGGTTTGGTATGGATAAATCTTTGGTACCTCTGTTGTATCCAAGTGAATATAATATTTTGTCATTTTTGAAAAAAAATGCAATGCAGCGGGAAAAAGTAATTTGAAAGTTGTTGAATTTTTTTCCAAAAGTAGAAAAGTGTTGAATTTTTTTTCAAAAGTAAAAAAATATTATATCCACTTAGGTACAATAGTGGTACCAAAGATTTATCCCTTTGGTATGTTCTACATGCAAAGAAGAATTCTTTTTCCAAAGGTACTGATCTGGGTTATATTCTGCCATATGTGACAAAGTAGATACACTAAACTGTAATTAAATTGGCTGGAAAAGAATAATCACACTTTCTTTAAAAAAAAAAAATCGAAGAACCTCTAAGTGTGCAGACATAAATATAATTTTCTGAGTTCATAACTGGATGGATCTGTAGGAGAAAAATATTATCTTAACCAAAAGACAAACAAAAAATTAGGAGGAGGGAGAAATGGATAACCACGTACCTTTGCCTCTTTGAACTGTAATGAAAATGGGTTCTATTTTCTCTTATTGTTGAGATAATTATCTTCTATAATAAATACACAATGTGATGGGGCCCATTATCTATGAAAAAAAAATAGTGACACAATTTTTTATGTGAGGAGAACATAAAATAGTTATTTCATATAAAATAAAAAATGAGAGAATGATTTCTCTAATGAAAAATGGACACAGAAAATGAATAAGTTAATGAAGGTTACAGATTCGGTATAACCACGTAACTTACTTATGAGAGGGAGGTTTCATGACTTTTTTTTATATATAAATTATAACAAAACAAATAAAAAATTCGTAATTTCATTATATTCTTTATATTAATACCGCACTTTCAAATTTTAAATATAGAATATCGTATAACATGTTTACTTTATTATGTTTTGAATACTTATTTTTTAATTTTTTTAATTTTGGATAATATAGTTTCATTTAGTGCATATTCTAAACAGTAAATTAGAAGTAATTGTGTTATATGATAATTTTTGTATTGTTAACAACTAATGTACATGATTAAAAAATTTAAATATTTATAAATAGAATAACATGATATTTATTATTATTTCCTTTGTATTATATATTGTTTTGTGCATATTAAAATTAGGATAATAAATTGATTTTGTGAGGTGAATAAAATTATATAATTAACGTGATTTATTGATAACAAAAATTTTAAATTTCAAACTCAATATGTGTCTATCATAATAGTTAAAAGACCTGGAAAGCACCGATACACACTTTTAAAAAATTGCATGTCGGACACTGACACGTGGTCAATACACACAGTCAACACTCTTACACGTATTTGACATTTTCTTTTAGGTCTAAATTCTATTTTATTTATTTTATTAACTAAACATGAAAAAATAATTTTTAAATTTTTTTCTATTATAAAATTTGACATAAAAAATTATTTTTACTTTATATTTATGTTATGAAATTTGAATATTTGATTAGTTATATAACTTATTACGAGTTGTTATATGTATTAGATATAAATTATATTATATATATTAAAAATATTATTTAATATTAAAATGTATCCTAACGGATCAAAATATGACACTTTTTAAAATTAACGTGTTAACTTATCATATCATGTGCTATATCCTATGTCGATGTTGATGCCAAATAGACTCAAAAGTGATCCTTTGAACTTCAAGATCAAAAGTTGAATAGTTGGAGATAAGGAGTTTGAATCAATGTTATAAAAATCGGACCGACCCGGGCGGGTCGACCTGAAAACTGGTGAATCGATCATGTAACTGGTTTGGTTTTCATATTGGACCGGCCATGTTACAGAACCGGGGTGACCCGGTCGGTTTTCGTAAAAATCGGTGACCCGACTCGGTCTATAAAAAAAACTAATTTTTTCATAAATTAATGTCTTCTTTTTTTTTACTCTCAAACACAAATGATTTGTTTTCTTTTGAAATATTTGAGTGATTTCTAGCTTATTAACTTACATAGATTATTTACCTACAACACTAATATTATCTTGATTATGCAATATACATAGAATTTTGATTTGATTTATAGTTAAAGATGTCTTTACTGAACCTGAAACACTAGTATCACAAATATTATATGTTTGATTGATCTTTTGTTGGACAATGATGTGTAATTTATTATTTTCATATTAAAATATTTTTTAAATTGGTATATTTTTACAAGTATTTAAGTATATTTATAGTTTTTTTAATATAAATTATAGATTTATATATACTTACCGGGTCATGCGATTGAACTAATGACTCATTGGTTGAACCAGTGATCCAGTACTTCGACCGGGTCTATAATCGGGCCGAGTTTAATAACATTGGTTTGAATATACAATATTTTTTTAGGAACAAAATTGAAAGGATTTGCTCTATTTTCTATGGTAAAAATATTTATTATTTCAAAAGATAATTTTATATTATTTTAAATGACATGACCATATTTTTTTTATTTTTTATTTTGGAAAACAAGAACAATGGAGCAAGAGCAAGCTAACAAGCTACTCTAGGTGTCCCAACACCCATACTATCTTTACAAATTAAATTACTACACCGCAAAGGTGGGTTAAAAACAACTAAACATTATTTTCAATAGATAAAGCTTTGTGTGCTATCCAATCAGTCACAACATTTCATTATCTAAGAGTATGCTTGATCTGCACTAACCAATCCATCTCAAGGAGGTCACACACTATGCTTCCAATGTGAGCTAGAAGATGATTATGTTGACCATCTTGCTCTATAAACTTCAGAACCTGGGTAGAGTCTCCTTCAATAAGGATGCTTCTAAAGCCTTGATCCCAGGCAACTCTGAGACCCAAGAGGAAATTCCATAATTTCACTCTGAATGAATTTTCCTGCCCCAGATTTGATATATATTTATTGATCTTTTATATTTTTTTTCTTCCACAAAATTGAAAGAAGTGAAAAAGAAAGAATAGTGTGGATTAGAAAAAATATAAAAGACCAACAAATTATGATAGTTTCATCCAAAAAAGATAAAGTAGTATTATTAAAAATAATAATTACTTTTTCCATTTTATTTATATGCTACCGTCACTTAAGTGAAAAACTAATATTTTTTTAGTGTTTAATATCTCTTATGTTATAAGAGATAAAATTATTTTCTATTCACACATAAAAATATATAAGATCTGTATTTTCTTCACATAACTTTATACGGATTCCATATACTTTTATGTGTGTAGAAAATAATAAAAATATCCAACTTTTTTAAAGGTAAATTTTCTGTATATTAATTAAGGAAAATGTTTTTCTTATGTTATTGTAGATATGTTATCTTATGTTAGTGAAATAAAATGATAAAAGGAACTCGCAAATAATTGAAAAAAGAAAAAATAGAAGTGAAACTCACTCTTGTTATATGTGTATAGGAATTTGATTTATCTAAAAATGAATAAAATAATATTAGCCATTAATATATTTATGTCATTAACTGTCAGTGGGTCACTGAAAGAAACGTATGGCATGTTCTCGAACCAACCACCGTTGCTCGAACCAAACGAACATACATGTACAATTTTTTCGTAGCCGTACACGAAAAACCCACTATCTATTCCCACAACCATCTACCCCTTCTTTTCCTCCAAATTACACAACTTGCCACTATCTTTCTTCTTCTTCTTCTTCTGGTTTGTTCTGTTCCGTTCTAACACTCTGTCACATTCACCATGGCTTCTCTTCAATTCCGTTACATTCTCTCTCCTCTCTCACTCAACCTTCCGGTTCCTCGCTCCACCACCTCCTTATTTTCTCGCCCTTTCCCGCCTCATTTTCCCGGAAAGTTTCGTGTTTTCTCTTTCACAGGATTCGATGGGATGAAGCACAGAAGAAGAAGAAGAAAACAAGTTTTCTCAATCTGCTGCTCCTCCTCGAAAACCGATTCCGAGGTTGAGAGAATTTCTATTCAGGAAGATGATGAACGGCCTCCGTTTGATATCAATCTTGCTGTTATTCTAGCTGGCTTCGCCTTTGAGGCTTACTCAACTCCCCCTGTATGTTTTTTTTCTTTCTTGTTCTTGTTTGGTTCCCGAGAAAATTTGGAAGAACTTTCCCGGTAATTGTGTTGTGACAGAAAATTTAAACTCTTTATTATTATTATTCTTATTATTATTGTTATTGGTTAAAGAAATCATGTTTGGATTAGTTTATTTTTATTTTCAGAGAAGTTTACAATTAAAATACTAAGGCATCTCTGAGCAGAATTTTTTTTTTCTTTTCTTTATAGTGAAAGATAAGCTAACATAAAATTATTAGTAAAAATATGTTGTAATTAAAGAGATTGAAATTAAAAATGAAAATGAAGATCAAGTATGCTGATACGTTTTCGGTTTCAACTTAGTTTGAATTTGCTATGAAACATGCAATGAGCAAGGGTGGTTGTTACCACACAAGGAATGTGACCGGGGACCTTACATTTTTTTCTTGCTGTTTCTTCTCCATGGTGAGATTGTGAGTAGAATGGAAGAAATTGATCATAACTGTTAATACTGGACGTAATATATATATATATTTTTTTTATGAAGTATTCATACTTGTTTTTTGATCTTTTTTTATTTTTCTTCGCATTATAACGAATTTCAGGAAAACGTGGGCAGGCATGAAGTTGATGCTGCTGGTTGCAAGACAGTTTATCTTTCTGAGTAAGTGCTATAATTGCCTTTCATGGTTTAAATTATTCAAATGCGTTTTTTGAGCCCCATCTAGTTAGGTAAGGCTTGGATGTTATTGTGTTTAGCTTCAAATGCCTTTCTTATAAGAATAATGGGCATGCTTAACAAGATTTTTTTGGGGGGTTTGTGCAGGGAATTTGTTCATGAAATTTATGATGGTCAACTCTTCATAAAGTTGAAAAAAGGATTCAATTTCCCTGCCATGGATCCGTGGGTTGGTTGTCTTATATAAATCTGATGTACTGAATAGTTTTGTGATGAGATGAAATGTGGACTTCTTTTTACTTTGCTTTATATCTGACAAGTATTTTTCCCCCCATGTTTAAGCTGATTAATACAACAGCTTGATTTTCCTTTTATTTGTATTGTTGCTTTCCAATTGGTTTTTTAATGTGATTTTCAGGGAACAAGTGATCCATATGTGGTCATACAGCTTGATTCTCAGACTGCTAAAAGCAATACCAAATGGGGGTGAGCTTTCGTCTCTTTTTTGTGGTTATTTATTCAAAAGAATTTTAATAGTCCTAATGGTTCACAGCCATTTTCACTGCAGAATTTGTACAGTGCATCTGTTTTGACTTTTCTTTGTAAAGTCTTTCATATTGTCCTTGCAAGCATTTTTGAGTTTGAAGTATTATCTATTTTTATTTTTCTTTCAAATTTGTGTATTGGCTAAGTAAGTAGAAACAAGAAAAATTTGTTGGGACTTTTTTTTTTTTTTTTTTATAAAATCCCACTACATGCATCAAATTCGGTTTTCTTCACTAAAATCGGATGTCTTTGCAGCAGCAGTGCAATTATAAACTGCTTTTGAATTGCTATCATAACCAGTCAGTACATTTGGTTCGTTTATGTAAAATTAAATGATGGCAGGACCAAAGAGCCAACATGGAATGAGGAGTTTACTTTTAATATTAAGCAGCCTCCAAGCAAACCTCTGCAGGTTAACAAGCATTTCTCTCTCTCTCTCTCTCTCTCTCTCTCCACATTCACACACATTGGCATGCGCACACTTACAAGAATCCTTTCAGCACATAAAAAAACAATTTAAGAAGGGGGATTTTTATAAGTCTGAAAGTGACATTGAGACTTGCATGGAATACATTGGCATGTCTTGATACATGAAAAGATATGGTAACTAATCATTGCTTAGTACTTACATTAAATAGATATATCTAATCTCCTCTTCCACAGTCTTCTGTTTCTTGGACTCCTTTTTAGAATCTGATACAGTTGAGTTTGATGTGCTTGAGAGAATGTTCATTGTTGACTTGAAGTTAGGTTGTGTTCTTTAACTTGGACTTAACACTATGGTTATATAATTTAATCTTGCAAATAGTCTAGATATGTGTCCAGACAATTTTATTAATGGATGGTACCCTCATATTCCATATGAAATTAAACTGACACATTAAAATATTGGAGAAAGTTTAGATACACAACACTTACACACATATGTTTACACCTGCACAAGTGGCAACATGTGAGTGTAGGTGTGGGAGAAGTCCAGGTTGAAACACATGCACATTTAGTGATGTATAACTAGCACTAATATATTTGATCTCCATTGCATAAGTGCAACTTTGAGCAGTACTCGGTCAGTCTCTCTGTGCATCAGAGCACTTAATCACCTGTTACCGTATGTAAAAAACCACTTCAACCCAAAAGCTTAAGCTGTTGGGTGAGGCTACATTAATAGTTTTATATATTTCAACACGCTCCTTCACACGAGAGCCCACCGGACTTGAAGGGTGGACAATGCACAGGCCCACCTACCTGTGCGAAGAAAGAAATTCCACTTGAAAGAAAGTGGGGCGGTGAGGACCGAACCCGGTATACCGAGGCTCTAATACCATGTAAAGAACCACTTCAATCCAAAAGCTTAAGCTGTTGGGTGAGACTACATTAATGGTTTTATAGATTTCAACACCGTATATATTTTATCAGTGTAATCAATCATCTGTTACTGTATATATTTTACCTGGTAATGCTGATGTAAAGTTCTCTTGTATTTCTCTATGGTCATGGCAGAAGTCCATTCACTTTTCTTTAATTTATTTATTTATTTTAGCTCTCTGACTTCTGATTGCTAGTAATAGAAGTTGACTGTATAACATCATAAAATAAACCATTCAAAGATTTCTTATATCCCGTATGTCATATATTTTGTATAACATAATAAATGAAAGTTGTAAACTTATTTTTTCTGATATATTTAGATATTTACTTTCCATTTTACATTGTTCTCATCCTTATTGTGATAATACTTCCGTCCATGCGTCTTGATGTTCAGCATTTATTATTATTTTGAGTAATTGTAAGTATATATGCATATGCATGTAAGACCCGTTGTTGCACTTATCAAAATCTAGTTATCTATTAGTTCAAAGGACTTGGGGATGAAATAGATTAGTTTAGAACATTTCAAATAGAAGTTTAAAATATGAACGTGAAGAGTGTTATAACATCATGATGATCGTGTAAGATTGTGATTGACATGAGAAGTTTTCCTGAACATTTCTCTAGGCCACACCAGCTTTGTCCCGTGTTTAAATTTCCACTTTTTTTTTTCTTAATTGTATGTCATAGTCTAGAGTCCAGACTGTTATTCTTTTGGTGATAAAATGAGATGTTTCATGTTTGGCCTTATAACTTAATCGAACACCTGCATTGAGGTATATCATCTGGATTGAAAAATGAAAAGTCATATAAGTATATGCGCAGAAGTTAAACAAAAGTAAAAGTCTGATGGTAAAATTAGTTTAAAAAATTCATGTCAGTTTTCTAACAACTGGCAGTATATCTTAGGTTGCCGCTTGGGATGCGAACCTTGTAACTCCTCACAAACGCATGGGGAATGCAGGTGTTGACTTGGAATGGCTTTGTGATGGTGAGGACCAGAAAATCTTGCAAGATATAGTTGATGTACTGTTGAAAGATTCTTATGTTGCTTAAAATTTCAACATAGATTGAATTTGTGCTCCATTTTATTGCAGACATGTCTGAATGTCATGATCACTTGGAAATATAATTGTCAATAAGATTAGTATAGAAATTGATTATGAATTCATTTTGTAACACAAAGTTAAGATTTATGATTCAAAATTTTTACTTCAAATGCATTTGTTGTAGGAGACTTGCATGAAATATTGGTGGAGTTGGAAGGAATGGGTGGTGGTGGAAAGGTTCAGTTAGAGGTATGTTTCTTTTAATGGGGAAAAAAAAGAAAAAAGAAGAAGAAAGAACGGGTTTATAGTATGGGGGAAAATTATTGCCCATTTGTATTTTAGTGGACAGCCTGATGTCTATGCCACTTGTATTTCATGTATTTATTAGTGGACAAAATTATATATCTCTATATTACATTGTTACAACTTCCTATGCTGATACATATGTTAACACATTTTGTTATTTGCATTAAACTGTTTTCTCTAAATAGGTCTTATAATTTTTCATACAGGGTTTAAGTTAAAATTTGACTTTTGCTTGTACTTCAGTCTTGACTTTCATTGAGATAAGTTATACGCTTTATGATTGAAAGCTTGCATTACTTATATGCTTAATTTGGCATAAATGTGCTTTATGCAAGTAATGCGAGGTTTCATTTTAATGAGTCATAAGTTGTTGATTTCTGTAATAAATTTTGGATTTTAGGTTAAATATAAAACCTTTGATGAAATTGATGAAGAGAAAAAGTGGTGGAAGATACCTTTTGTTTCAGACTTTCTAAAGATAAATGGTATTGATTCTGCATTCAGAAAGGTTATTGGTTCTGATACAGTCCAAGCCCGGCAATTTGTGGAATATGCATTTGGGCAGTTAAAGTCATTTAATAATTTAAAACTTCAAAAGGGCCAGATGTCTGATATCGATAATGATAAGTATGATACTGAAGGTTATGGGGAACTTAATGAATCTGCTTTTGTGCTAAATATGCCTTCTCACAAGGCTGGTAGTTCAGAAGCCTCTAATGAAGCTTGCAGTGAGCAGAGAAACTTGAAGGAGTTTCACAAGGATGATAGTGATACTGACAATGGACCTGCTTCTGAACCAGTGACACAAGTTAGCGAGAAAGAGCTGTCAAATCAACTTTTTTGGAGGAATTTTGCTAATGTTATCAATGATAACATTGTTCAGAAGCTAGGTCTCTCTGTGCCTGAGAAATTAAAGTGGGACGGATTGGACTTTCTAAACAAAATTGGTTCACAATCACAAAATAATGCAGAAGCTATTTATATTCAATCTGGTCTTGCAATACCTGATGGCACAGATGATACAGATGATAAAACAAGCGCCCTACCTGCCATTGCTGCAATTCAATCTTCGATTCCAGAGGTCAAAAAAGCAACGCAGAACTTGATGAGGCAGACTGATTCAATTTTAGGAGGTTTAATGCTTTTGACTGCAACAGTTTCCAAAATGAAAAACGAAGGCCTTTCTTCTGAAGAGAAGAAAATCAACGAAGATTCTACCAAAGTAGGGGGCAGTGACATACAATATTCTACTATTCAGAAGTTTCCTAGCTCACAGAATGGATCAGTGTTGGATGATAAAAGAGCTGAAGAGATGAGAGCACTTTTTTCGACTGCAGAAACTGCCATAGAGGCTTGGGCAATGCTAGCCACTTCACTGGGCCATGCTAGTTTCATTAAGTCTGAGTTTGAAAAATTATGTTTCCTAGATAATGCGTCCACAGACACACAGGTGTTTTGTTATATCCTCTTCAATAAGTCCACTTCTCTATTTGTTATTTTTTTTTTTTTTAAATTTTTAATTTGAAATCGGCAGTATATCATCCAAATACTATTTGTGATATAATGCCAATATCTTATACCATATACTGCTTTCTATTTTATTTAAATCATTAGAACTTTCAGGTTGCAATTTGGCGTGATTCTGTGCGAAGAAGAATAGTGGTTGCTTTTAGGGGAACAGAACAGGTAATTCATATTCTTCTTGTTCTTTTAGGTGCAGTACAGATACCGGTTTGTCTTAAAAATGATTATACTTTTGATTTTTCAGTCTCGGTGGAAAGACTTAAGAACTGATTTAATGCTTGTCCCAGCCGGGTAACCACTCATTTCTAACCTAGTTGTGACTTGTTTAGTGGTTCAGTTTAATTTTAGCTATGAAAAGTGTACTTTGCACTCGCAGTTCATTATATCTAACTTTTTTGTTCTAGCATGTTGTAAATAATAATATTATTTATTTATTTGTTGTATTGGGCTTAGCCCATTAGGTCATGTAATCTCTTTAAATAGAGAGAACCCTTTGTACAATTTACATACAATTCAATAATATATCAGATTACCCTTTTTCAAGTTGGTATCTAAGCTCTCGATTCTGAGGGTTCTCCTTCCGCAAATCACCATCTTTAAAAACCAAACCCTATTTTTCTCTCGCCGCCACCGGAAAAAAATTTCCAGGGACCTTTTGGACCGTGAGGACCCTTGTTTCACTCCGTTTTCTTAGATCTATCATTCTACGGAGGTTTCTTTTTCATCAGACGACCGGAACAGCTAAAAAAAAACGCAGTACTATTCACCGGACACTGTTCACGCGGTACTGTTCATCGGGTACTGTTCACAAAAAATAAAATAAAAAATTCCTGCTTTGTTTTGTCTCCTCTTCATGGATCAGCTTAAACCCGCTTTTGATAATATGTGTAAGCCATCTGATCGTTCTTTGATCTTGTCTGGTAAGAACACACGTCCTACATCTCTTCTTGCTTCTTGCACTGATTTTAAAATCTCATGGATTTTGGATTCTGGTGCAACTGATCATATGACTTGTCGTACTGAGTTTTTTCTTTCTTATCATCCTATTGTTGGTAGTCATACTATATCCGTAGCTGATGGATCCCATAAATCAGTTATTGGTTCTGGTAACATTCAAATTCAACCTTCCTTGTTTGTTAAAAATGTTCTTTATGTTCCTCAGCTTTCTACTAATCTTATCTCCACTCAAAAACTTACAACTAATTTGAATTGTTCCATCACATTTTTCCCTTCTCATTGTGTTATTCAGGATCTTACCACCAAGAAGACAATTGGAGTTGCTAATGAGCAGGATGGGTTGTATTATCTCCTTCCAGAACATGATATAAATGATAGCAAAAATCAGTTATTAATGACACGTCATCCTTCTACTGCAGAGTCTATGATTTGGCTCCATCGTAAGCGTCTGGGGCATCCACCATTCAGTCTACTGAAGTCAATGTTTCCTTCTCTGTTTCTAAATCAGTCGGTTGAGACCTTCCATTGCGATGTTTGTGAATTTGCAAAACACCATCGAGTGTCATTTCCTTCTAGCACTATCAAAAGTAGCGAACCTTTTTCTCTTATCCATTCTGATGTTTGGGGCCCTTCTAAAGTGCATAGTGTTTCAGGTGCAAGGTGGTTTGTTTCTTTTGTTGACGATTGTACTCAGGTAACATGGATATTCTTGATGAAAGACAAGTCTGAAGTACCATAGAGATTTATTCGATTTCATCACATGGTTGAGACTCAGTTTGGTAAGTGTATTAAAAAACTAAGATCTGATAATGGTACTGAGTACGTCAACCAACGCCTGTCACAATTCATTTCAGACAGAGGTATGATTCATGAGCTCACATGTGTTGATACCCCTCAACAAAACGGGGTTGCTGAAAGAAAAAATCATCACCTCCTTGAAGTTGCTAGAGCACTACTTTTCCAGACATCTGTTCCTAGTTCTTATTGTGGAGAAGTCGTGTTAGCTGCAGCCTTTTTGATCAACCGCTTACCTTCACGGGTCCTTAACAATACCCGTCCTATTGATTCTCTGACTTCCTTCTTTCCTTCTGTTCCCATTTTGCAGAGCTTTCCACCAAGAGTGTTTGGATGTGTTGTCTTTGTCCATGTTCATAAACAACATCACAGTAAGTTGGATCCTAGGGCTCTTAAGTGTGTCTTCCTTGGTTATGCCCCTGATAAAAAATGGTACAAGTGTTATCATCCACCAAGGAAGACTCAGGGGGAGAACAGTTCTTCAGAAGACTCATCCCCTTCCTTCTTTGAGTCTGGATCGTCCTTGTCTACTCCTACACCTCTTCCTAGTGTGTCTGCTCCTGGTGTGTCAGAACCTTCAAATACACCTGAGATACAAAAGATTTTGACACCTGAATTAGTATATCAGAGGAGGAAACAACCCATACTGTCTCAACAGCAACCTCAATCGTCTGAACCACTGGTAAGTCCTGAATCTCTTGTTTATGATTCTAATATTATTGCCTCTCATGATTTGCCTATTTCTTCTGATACCTCTGATGACTTACCCATTGCTTCTGCTTCTGATGACTTACCTATTGCCCTAAGAAAAGGGAAAAGATCTTGTACTCAATACCCTATCTCCCATTTTGTTTCTTCTACTAATCTTTCTGTGCAGCACAAAAGCTTTGTTTCAGCACTAGATTCTATTTCAATCGCAAAATCAGTACATGAAGCATTGAAAGATGAGAATTGGGCTCAAGCCATGCAAGAGAAGATGAATGCGTTGGAGAAAAATAAAACATGAGAGGTTATTGATAGACCCAATGGAAAGAAAGGAGTAGGGTGCAGATAGGTTTATGCCCTAAAGTATAATTCTGATGGCACTCTTGAGAGATATAAGGCTCGGTTAGTCGCCAAGGGTTACACTCAGACCTATGGCATTGATTATGAAGAAACCTTTGCTCCAGTTGCAAAGATGAATACGGTGAGAGTCTTGTTATCCCTTGCTGCCCATTACAATTGAGATATTAATCAATTTGATGTGAAGAATGCTTTCTTTAATGGTGAGTTAGAAGAAGAAGTCTATATGAAAATTCCGCCTGGTTTTGATTCTGTGGACAGAGAAAATAAAGTTTGTAGATTAAGAAAAGCTTTGTATGGATTGAAGCAATCACCTCGTGCCTGGTTTGGGAGGTTTACTAAGGTTATGATGACCTTAGGATACAAACAGAGTCAAGGAGATCACACTATTTTCTTTAAGCACTCCCAAGATGGGAAGCTCATTGTGCTCCTTGTATATGTTGATGATATTATTATAACAGGTGATGATTTTGTGGAGAGACATATTCTGCAAACACGACTAGCCTCTGAGTTTGAAGTTAAAGACCTTAGGAAACTGAGATATTTCCTAGGGATAGAGGTAGCTCATTCAAACAAAAGAATTTTTATCAGTTAGAGGAAATATGTTCTTGATCTTTTCAAAGAAGCAGGAAAGCTTGGGTGTAAACCCTCGAATACTCCTATTGAGCAGAATCACAAAGGTTATGAAGAGGAGAGTCCTCCAGTTGATAAAGGACAATATCAAGTTGGGAAACTGATATATCTGGCTCATACTAGACTAGACATAGCTTATGCTGTTAGTGTTGTCAGTCAGTTTATGCACGATCCAAAGGAGAAACACATGCAGGCAGTGGAGAAAATTCTTCAGTATCTTAAAGCCACTCCTGGTAAAGGACTGTTATTCCGGGGTGATGGAAATCTCTCTTTAGAAGTTTACACTGATGCTGATTATGCTGGATCTGTGACTGACCGTCGTTCTACCACTGGTTATTGTATGTTTCTTTGTGGTAACTTGGTGACGTGGAGAAATAAGAAACAAGATGTAGTTGCCAGATCAAGTGCAGAGGCTGAATTTCGAGCTATAGCTCAAGGCATTTGTGAGTTATTGTGGCTGAAAATTGTACTTGATGATCTCAAAATAAAATGTGAGGGACCTATGAAGCTGCTATGCGATAACAAGTCCGCTATTTGTGTAGCTCATAATCTAGTTCAACATGATCGGACTAAACATATTGAGGTCGACCGCCATTTCATCAAAGAGAAACTTGATAGCGGGTTGATTATCACTCCATACATTCCCACTGGGCGTCAATTAGCTGATGTATTGACAAAGGGACTTCCTTCAGACAGATCTCAAGAGCTTACTAGCAAGCTAGGAATGATAAATATCTATTCCTCAGCTTGAGGGGGAGTGTTGTAAATAATAATATTTATTTATTTATTTGTTGTATTGGGCTTAGCCCATTATGTCTTGTAATCTCTTTAAATAGATATCCCTTTGTACAATTTACATACAATTCAATAATATATCAGATTACCCTTTTTCAAGTCTCACCAATTTGATATATTTTTAATCTAATGAGAAGTTGTACCTGTATGATATTTGATAAATGTAATTAGGTTAGATGCTGCTTGATTTTTGTATGACATTTTTTATGATTTTGAAACAAAATAATTGGCAAAAAAAAAATTAGAAGAAATAAAAAAAAATTAAAAAGGGGGGAAAATATAAAAAGTAATAGATTCTTCTTCTAGGGACAGTGGCAAGATATTTTATTTTATTTATATATTGAAAAAGTACATCATCATTGTTTTTTGTTTTTGTTATTGAGCCTATTATTATTTCAAAAAGGTATTGAGAAATGTCTCTTTTTCTTGTCATGTCAGTTATTGAGTTTATGCATCTTAAGGGCCATTAAAGCTATATCCATTGGTGCTGTTCCAAATCATAATTAATTTAGGGATTGATTTAAAATGCTTTTTGATTTCACCAGACGATTTTATTCCATAACTGACTTTGCTATGGCTTCCATAGGTTGAATCCTGAAAGGATAGGTGGAGATTTCAAGCAAGAGGTTCAAGTAAGTTAATTGCTGGCAAGTTTATACATATTAGACATGTTAGGAAGATGTATAGAAGGCTACAAGAACAGATATTCCTCAGTTGTTGATGGTGCCGAAATTATTGCAGGTTCACAGTGGTTTTCTAAGTGCATACGATTCAGTAAGGACCAGGATCATTTCTCTAATTCGACTTGCAATTGGTTATGTGTAAGTTTTACTCCTGAAGAATTTTTATTGCACCAAGCTTTGCCGTAGAAATATGCTGCAGTTCTTAGAATATTTGAATGAAAATTCCTTTGCATTCCACGTTTAAGCTTTTAGTTTGAGTCATGGTGTGTTTTTTGTGAATTATGTAACAAATTAAATATCTCTGTTCTAGATAGTTGAAGAAGTTGCAATTGTGACAACTAACCATTCTAGTTGTTAAATCAAACAGGAAATTCAATATTTACCATTATTTTTCTCCTGGAGAAAGCAGTGATGGTAACATATTACCTATTGGATCGATATTTCAATTATCTTCATTTTCTGCTTATGCTGTTATGTATGATTAGGCATAAACTTTCCTCATAATGCTATAAAGTATTGTCATTGAACGTTGATCAAATTCATTTGTGTTTTTACATGTCACTGGCAATATTACATCTCAAAACTTGATTTCATATTGAAAAACAGAAGGTTTATTGCTTTTGTGCCAGAGATGATCATTCTGAATCGCTCCACAAATGGCATGTTTATGTGACTGGTCATAGTTTGGGTGGTGCATTGGCAACCTTGCTTGCTCTTGAACTTTCATCCAATCAGTTAGCTAAGTATGTTTTTTGTTTCTCTCTTAGTTGCTTTTTTTCCATTTATAGTTTGAGTGCTTATTTTTATGCAAATGAGCGTGCATGTACTTGTATTTATGGGCAAAGTCATATTTTGTTTACATTAATTAACTCTTTTGTGTTCGCTGTAGTCATTACGTTAAATATAATGTGTCCGGTTATTTGTGCCTACCATTTTGATTTATCTCTGCGATAGTCTGTTGTCAGTTTTCATGATTTTCTTTTTTGTTTTTGGTAGAAAACAGGGATAAAGTGAAAGGAAGAGTCATATTTTTAAATACATATGACTAATATAGCAATGCGTCTGTCACTCTATGTCTGCCCTGAGATTGACCATTGACCATAATTCATTTTTTCTTGGCGTAATACTTTTTCAATCAGGATAGTTTTCTTAGTTTCTTAGTTGACTTGTGCTCAATTTTAGAGGAGTTGAAGTAAATCTTTTGAGGTGATTTTTTTATTTTTCCTTTCCGTCTATTTTTGTTTTGCTTTCTGGATGAATGCTGATTCTTTTTCTCTGTATTTTTCTCTTTAAATAAATTCTTCTTTTATCAAAATAACAAAAAATGAAATTCTTGTAAACATTTTAAATTTAGGAACAACTAACCTCTCAACCTGTTAATGATGCTCAAAGAGTGGTCATTGACTACTTATTGACTTAACTAATCACCTGAGTAAAGTGGTTATTGTTCCTAAGCTGAAAATATTTTTAGCATGAAACTGTATGGATAGCTATCAACGAAAATTGCGGATCTTATTTACCCTTTTTATTTGCTATATTTTCTCCCTATTTAGTCTGCAACTTGAAACATAACATTTAGGTTAAATTAAGCTGGAGGTCCTGTGCTTTTTGGGTTTTTTTAAATAGGACCATATATTAAAAACTATAAATGGGTTTGTTTAGTTTCAAAAACTTTATTGAATGGGTATCTGATACGAATCTTGAAAGAGCTTCATCCCAAAAGCTAACCCATGAGATAGGAGAGCCCAAAGCACATAACCTCACACCAGAACCTTATATTTTCGATGTAGGACTCAAAATCCCATACCTTGCATAACATTTCATGTTGAGATATATAAAACCATTAATGTAGCCTCACCCAATAGCTTAAGCTTTTGGGTTGAATTGGTTCTTTACATGGTATCAGAGCCTCGTGTCCCGAGTTCGATCCTCGCCGCCGCCCACTTTCTTTCAAGTGGAATTTCTTTGTTCGCACAGGTAGGTGAGCCTGTGCATTGTCCACCCTTCAAGCCCAGTAGGCTCTCGTGTGAGGGGGCGTGTTGAGATGTATAAAACCATTAATGTAGCCTCACCCAATAGCTTAAACTTTTGGGTTGAATTGGTTTTTTACATTCCACTATGCTTTGGAGCCTGGGCGTCGACACTACGCTTTGGAGCCTGGAAGCGGGTTGGCTTTGCGCTAGTCTTTTACTAGCCCTGGGTGAACACTGCAATGTCAGCGTCACCACTCACAACCCACGCCGCTCGATTGCAACCAGGAGACATAATTGAAAGCTATGATACCAATTGAACGCAACCCCTCTGGGCCCTCTCATAGCTTCCAGTAACCTCTCACCTTCATTGATTCTTCCCTCTATCTGGAAAAATTGTTCCAAATAGGTTATTCATCACCAAACTTCATTATCTTCTCCGTCTCCGTAGAACTTGGGAATTTTGCTTCTTTGTAGCTTTCTTCTCAGCGTGGCCATGGTTCACAAAGCTCCTAGATCGGAAGCTCTGATACCAATTGATACAAACCTTGAGAGAGCCTCACCCCAAAAGTTAGCCCATGAGGTAGAAGAGTCCAAGTCCATATAAACCCCACACCAGAACCTTATATTTTTGATGTGGGACTCCAAATCCCATACCTTGGAGTAGGATCGTAACAGTATCTATAAGGACCTAACAATTGACCAGATTAAGGGACCTATTGAAAAAAAATTTAAAACTATAAGGCATCATTTATAATTTTTAAACTATAAGGACTTAAATTCTCAAAAAGTACCCAACCTACATATTAATTTAACCAAATATTACTCAGTGTTTGTGCCCCATTTGAAATTTGTGGTAGCTACTGCATACAATATTCAATTTTATTTTATTTTTTTTTTTTTTTGTGTTCCAGGCGGGGAGCAATTTCTATTACTATGTATAACTTTGGTTCTCCTAGGGTCGGTAACAAAAGATTTGCAGAAATTTACAATAAGGTCAGAAAAGATTATAATTGTTTTATTGATGCTATTTGTGTTGCCTTCTTGCGTGCTATATTTAATTGAATGTCCATTATGTCCTTTATTATAATATGATACTGAAAATTATGTGCAAAATTGTCCTATTCAACAACTACCTATGGCTCTGAAAATTGAGTCACAGGATTTGCAGCTGTTCATGATTAGTCATGACATTTGAGTTACAGTATACTGCTTGTGTACGGAGGATCATCCTTTGCTCAAAATAATGCAAATGTGTAATGATCCGATAAAATGTAGTGTCTGATCTTTTACTATGGCTCATAAGTCATAACAGACATTTCAGAGAGTATATGCTAAGTTAAACCAAGAAGAAAAAAGCCTCTTCAAACATTATGAATTATCTCTAAAATGCGCAAGCAATTCATGCTTACACCAAATAATCAGGCAATTGTATAAGACAATACCCCTAAAGCACAAATTCAAATAAGCATGTGGTGAAAAATCATGGCAAACTATATATGATCTTTCACTTAGAGCCATTTTGTCTTCTTAGTTGTCATATGCTAGGTAAAAGTATATTTGTTTGTTTCCTTGTTTATATTTGTAAAACACTTAACAGTTTTGCTCCTGCAGAAAGTTATAGATAGCTGGCGAGTTGTGAATCACAGAGATATTATACCTACAGTACCTCGGTTGATGGGTTATTGCCACGTAGCTCAGCCTGTATTTCTTGCTGCCGGGGTTTTAGGAAATGCCCTCGTGAGTGGTTATTGTAATGCTTCACGTGTGCACATACATACCTCTCTATTTAAAATATAAAAATAAACTCTATACTATATTATCTGTTATCTCGTCGTTTCTTTTTTGGCAATTTTAATTAGCCTAATGATTTGACTATTAGCAGTAATATTTAGGGAAAAGGACTGAAAAGAAGTTCTCAGTAAAAATAGTTTTGAAACATTTAAACATTTAATTGGTTAATTAGGTCCGTAAGTGGTTACTCATTAACTACTTGTGAGTATCATTAACCAATCAAGTGGTTAATTGTTCCAAAACTGTAAACATTTTTGCCAAAATTCCTTCCTTGTACCTTTCCCTTTTCTTTTTTTATTAGATAACCTTTAAATCAGTTTTCCTTGTGTGCTTGATTTTTTGAATTAATTACTGCATTTGTTCCCAATATTTCTTGAATATAGATGCTTTTTTATATCATCCTTAAACAATCAAGACACAATGAATGAAACCATTTCTATTCAAAATCTTGGTAGTTTAGAAACTGTTAAGATAAGTTGATTTCAGGTTTAATTCATTTGTTCTTGTTAAATAGTTTGAATGTTTTTTAGGATTAATTGCTTACCATCTATGAGGGAATTCTTAGTGCTCTCTTTTCTTTATATTATGTTGGATTGCACTGTGGCAGCAAAAATGTATAATGCAATTTACACTCTTAACAATATATATATATATATATATATATATATATATATATATATATATGGCAAAATGATTTCTGCAGCTGCTGTACCTACAGCAAGCAAGGATCCGCGTCCGAATCCTAGGATACGGCAACGGATCCTGAGTTTTTTTTTTTAAAAAGCCGTGGGACCCACTTTTCTGTGTCAGCTGTAGATAACACTATCTACAGCTGCTGCAGAAATGTTAAGCCCTATATATATATATATATTGGATAGTTTCTGGTGCTTCAATTTACTGATATATTAAATGCATGCTATCCAGGAAAACAAAGATATATTGGGAGATGGTTACCTAGGTGATGTTCTTGGGGAATCCACGCCAGATGTTATAGTCAGTGAATTTGTATGTTTCTTCTTATCTAGCTTTCTGCTAAATGTTTATTCTGTTCATATCACAAATTTACAAATAGTCATGCGTTGTGATTTCACATCCATATTACATGTTATATAATATATTACAAATAGATATTAATTGGCCAACTATGACATGGTGCATGCCTTTCTCTCACCTCATTTACTATTGAGGTCAAGTGAGAATTAATATTTCCTAAAAGATTATTTCTCGTTCAAATGACAGTTTTTATCTAATAGATGGCGACATTTATATTGAGGTAATGGTTCAAGAGAGGTTAAAAATCAATCCCTAATTTTTTACTATTATTCTTTTAGCTTGTCTTGGGTTACTCTGACTGAGTTCGTACTTTTAGAATATTAATCGTTTGTGTTTGTCTTTTAATGTCAAGAAATCCTATGTAATACCTGTTTTTCACTAGTATTGAACTTGGCTTTCGCAGACAATATAATTTGTCCACATGTAGTGAGTCCTATTGGTTATTTTTTTTAGATTTGGTACCATTCGATTTTCATTTTGTTAGGATAGACAATAACTAGGATTTTCTAACTTCTCTGTAAATCAAAATCAATCTAACATTAATCAATAACTTTATTAGTGGTAGGTTCTATATAGTTCACAGTTGGATTGAAAGCACGTATGACATCATGCTTGAAAATTTTTAGGTTAACATTGTGTTCTACTCCATTGTTGTATCTTAAAATTTAAAGTTTAACATACTTAAAAAATATATATACATCAATCACTTGATCGTATACTTATTTTTGTTCATATATTCTACATTTTGGCATATGCAAGATCGATATGATAATTATTTACAATTCAACTTTTGGTTCAATTAATATCATTTTTCTATACGATGTTATAGAGTGGTGTAAGTGTATACAGTGTTTATTATTTAGTACCCTACACCAAGGTTGTTAAATCGCAATATGTATCATGTATTGTTTGACTGGTTTTTTGTATCATGTATTGTGAATCGTAACATATAAGCATAATAAAAAATAATTTAAAAATATTTATTAAAATATTTATTTAATTACTTCATTTATTAATACTTATTTTTCAGATTGATTTTTGAGTTTAAATCATAAATTAAATCTTTATTTTTTTTCCTTATTAATAATTATTTAAAAAAATTATTTTAAATCATAAATTAAATCTTTATTTCTTTCTTTTTATATTAAAAATTACAAATTTTGATTTAATTTTTATATCATATGATACACGATACGTATCGTACGGTACAGTATTGTATCGTCCAATACAAACCATTTTCCGATACACTCCATGATACGTATCGTTGCGCTTGTAAATCGTATCGTACAAATCATATTGTGTATTGTATGATACTGATAACTATGCCCTAGACAAACCATTTAACTCTAATTATTGTTTGAATGAATAAGTCAGCTGATTATACCATTAAATTCAATAATGGTGGCTGGTTCAATGCTCCCTTAGTCAATGCTTGTTTTCTCCAAATTTTGTTTTGTCTGAATTATGTTCTAATAAAGATGTTACATGTGTTTACCAAAAAAAAAAAGATGTTACATATGTTTCTGGTTTCTTTTTTTGGTGCTGCAAAGGCAGCAAAAGACCTTGATAACATGAATTTAATTGAGAAAGTTAGAAAGAACTGTCAGATACAATGGCACGGTCATGGTGACTTCTGCCTTCTTAAATTTTCAAGTTAGTTTCCATGACTGTTAAATCATTCATAGCCGGGCAAGCCTTGCACAACATACCTTTAAAAACTTTGTAATTCTATCAAAACTTTTTTAAACTATGTAATTTAATGATTTGGCCTCCTCAAATAATTTTTATGTAGTATTTGGGGCCCCCAAACAAAAAATCCTGGCTGTGCCTGTTTTAGCATATAATTATTTTCTTCTCAATCTATATGATACGGTTAAGCCAAGTAAAAGGTTGGGAGGACTTATGAAAGAAATAGATGTAGGGGATCATTGCTATCAACTGCAAATGCTGACTCAGCATAGGTTAGTTAGGAGGGAATCTTTTGGTTAGAGTCGCACTCCTGGTGCATCAAACGAAGGCTGGTATCAAATACCAAGAGATGCATAATTTTGGGTATATCTGGAATCTTGGCTAGGTAGAGAGTAGAGCCTTTCCAATTGCTCTACGTTACCATTTCCTTTTCTCTTTGCTTGTAACTTCCTCAGTTTTTGTTCAATTTGACATTACTTGTATCATATTCTTTCAATTCTCTATAGTGTGGTATTAATTCTAGTAATACAGACCTCAGTTTCTCATTCAAATTCCTCATTTGTGCTCTGTAACTTCTTGTTATTACTTGGTTCTTATCACTATACAAGTTTTCTATTTTTAATCTTTAATGTTCACAAATTCTTCCTTTTCATATTTTAGAGTTGATCTTTCTTTTATGTTCACCATTCTCAACTTTGATCTATCCAGATGAAGGGTGAGAAGGAGCTTATTGAGAAGTTGTTACAAACTGAAATAAATATTTTCCGCTCAATCAGAGATGGGAGTGCTCTCATGCAGCATATGGAGGATTTCTATTACATCACATTACTAGAGGTACAGTGCATTCACTTAAAATAATTTCATGATATACTTCTCTAATTATTCCATTGTGTTATGATTATTCTTGTCCGGTTTTACTGTAGTTAGTTTACTTAGGAAAAACTACTGTCTTTGTGAAAGAGAGATAAACTAATGAAATAGTTCATTCAGATGGATTTGTGGATTTTTAAATTAGGTGGTGTTAATGTCCCTTATCACTTAAGGGACTAAAATAAGAATAGTTTAAGCTGCTAGGTGAAGACCATATTAACGGTTTTATATTATATCTTTCTAACATCCTCTCACATAAAAGTCCATTGGGCTTGAAGGGTGGATAATGCACCCGAAAGCTTAAGTTGTTAAATGAAAACCAAATCAATGGTTTTATGTTATATCTAACATTAATGATGTCATTATGTACTTTTCATTTCTTATAAATTAGTTCATTCATCTTTCTTCTTCTTCTTCTTTTGTTATTAATTATCTCGGACTGCTATTATTCAGAATGTAAGATCAAATTACCAAGGTGTCTCAAGGTCACAACTAGATGAAAACGATAGGTTCTAGTAATGAGCCAACAAGGATTCGTTGTTGGGAGGCCACTAGCGGAGTTCCATGCACAACTAGAAGTGTGCTACATACAGTTGTAGAAAGATGTTGAGAAGAGCAAAAGATCATTTACAGCCCAATCTTTACTGGTATGGTAGGCTGTACTCTCTGTTTAGCATACATTTTGTTTTCCTTTTAGTAAAATCAAAGCTTAAACATACCTTTTCATTGGATGGTAATAGTTATAATAGTAAATAAATAGTAATACAAAACGTAATTATTGGTTTTCTGCTTCTCGTATCTACCGTTTACTAACTGAACCTTATTAGTACATAATTCTCTGAGGTTCACTATATTTTAGCTTTAATTGGTTGGCATTGTGACAGATATATTACATTTAAGCATCACCTCAGTACAACCCAGATTTTCTTTCTCAAACTAGTGTATAATATGTTCCTGTGGAACAGATTTTGTTGATTTTTTTCATTTTGTTTAGTTCAAGTTTCCAGAACCTGTTAGGAAAAAGTAAAAAGAGTAAAAAACTTGTGGTTTATTGTTACAGCTACCATTAGATAGAGCAGCAGTTGCAGTAAGAACTAGACGTGTGGCTGAAGTAACGGTAGTAATAGCTAGTGGTTTAGTTGTTAGGAAACTCAACAATTGTAACTAAGATAGGATCCGCGTTCCTATACATACGTGGTGCTCTACTGAGCTAAGATGGATATGCACGTACACTATAGTTACTAGTTACCGGTTAACTGATAAAGCTAAAAGTGTATTGTTACAATTGTTGAGTCTCCTAACAACTAAACCACTAACTATTACTACAGTTACTTCAGCCACATGGCTAGTTCTTTACTGCAACTGTTGCTCATTCTAATGGTAGCTGTAACATCTATGCTTTTCCTCATTAAAGAAAGAACTAGAATGTGGCTGCTTGGCGTGGACTAAATATTCTTTAGAAGCATAATATTCTGTTCCATTTATGACACTTGCATGTATTGGCAGCGAGGAAAATGGGAGCAATGCAGTATTTTCACTATAGATAGATAACTATGCAAATGGAACTGATAGGCATGGTTGGCAGCAAGAGGACTCCAAGTGGCAAAAATTTCTAACAAAATTTATAGTTTTACAAATATGATATTGTACTCATTTGCGTTGTGCTGATAGAAATTGGTTGTTATAGCATGCATATAATAATAAAGAGATAGAACTGGCTTGGAAATGCAACGTGTCTAATTCTATGCAGAATGCTGTTTGTTTTGTAAATATGCTTACATCAAGTGCACTCTCTGTTCTCTCTTTTTTCGTTTTTCTTTAATTGAGCCGTCTTATATTCACTATAGGTGGCAAAGCGGATAATTCACAACCAACCCGTGCCATAATGAACCAACTTGGCCTGTACCATTTTTTAGAGCGGGTTAAAAATGAGCTAAATATATATTGATAAGTAAAGGGTATCAAATGAACACCAAAGTATAAAAGAGTCAATAACTAATATTTTATAAAATAAATTAAAAATTAAAAATCCAATGGGTTAACCTGCACTTATGCGCAGTGTTTAAAAACCCGGCTCGGCCATCGATCCGGCTGAGGTCAGGGGTCATGGGGTCACGGGTTCAATCGGAGGGTCACGGGGTCACTACGCTGACCCGGTTTTATATATATATATATATATATATATATGAAAATATTAAAAAACAAATCACCAATCTTCAAAGATTCAAAATATACTTAACATAATTCACCAATTACAACAACAAGTCAATATTACACAACATAATTAAAGTATCAAGATACCAAAGTACAAAACTCATATTCTAATGGGTCACTACGGTGACCCGGTTCTGTCTCTTTTGATAAGGTCTCTGACAAAGGAAAATTTAAAGGAAGTAAGAATGAGTTTTTGTTTTCCATCAACCGCTGTAAGGATTTCATTTGAATGGGAAAAAATTCTTACCTTTTCTAGAAGATCCACGGAAGCGAGGTGAAGATTGAAGACGTCTAGGTCACTGGGAGATAAGAGAACGATTAGATTTAGGTTTGTAAGTATTTTTATTTTATTTTTTTTAATAAAACGACATTGTTTCAGGGAATTTTTTTTAAAAAAAAAAACATGCAGTGACTCCCTTTGACCCGGGGGTCACTAAAATCCGGCTGAGTTTTGGGAGTCTGAGGGGTCGATATACATATAGGGTCTAACTTGTGACCCCAACTCTCATAGGAGAGGGGTCAGGGTTGACCCTGGTTAATCAATGAACCAGGGAGAATTGAACCAATTAGCATTGCGAAAAGCCATATTATTTTAATCAATGTATGCACTAAATTGGTTTATTGTTATTTAGAAATGCAATTCGGTTAACCCAAATTAAGCTAATTGTCAAAGTGGATCTGTACAAGGGATCTACGTTGAGGATGTCATCTTCTCATCGCTCCAATCGTTCAGTGAAGTTGGAATGATTGCTGGTGGTCGAGTAGGGTAATTTTGATTTTATATTTCATATTGGCAACAGGTGTATAAAACTTACTATCAAGAATTAGAGAGTGATTAACTGAAACCAAAATAACATTTTGTAAACAGTGTTCCTGGTTCAAAATAATTTGCTTCGTTTTTTTTTTTTTTTTGTGGTAAACAAATGAGAGCTTCGGTTTTTTTTTTTTAATTGAACCAAAATATTGCTCAATTGTGGACAAAACAATGGTAGTGTATGGTTAAGATTTTAAAAAGTCATTCGATCCTTTAATTAATTTGGAGAAAATAATTCAGTTTGGAAAAATATGGTGCAGTGTAATTTGATTTGCGGTTCAGTGCGATTATTCAAAATCCTAACGGATTCGAAAAATTAATTTAATTCTTAAACTGGTTAAAAAAATATTATTTTTAATTGCAATTCACATCAGTTATGATTTGATTTATTTGATTTTTTTCACACCCTTAACTAGATGCAATGACAGTGTGTATAAGTCAATTGGTGTCACCACCCAAAATGCGGAAAAACGTACAGCACTTCCATCGTAGGTACAATAGACCAATGAAAGTGTGTCATATCAGCTTTCATTGTCCTGGGAAGGGTAAACAAAAAATAAATAAGTTATACTTTATATGTACTTTCCAAAATATATAGTGTAAAACTAGTGATCAATACCCCTGCAATGCTCTCCCAAAATGCAGGACTGTGATTGGCCATATTACTGTAAAATCTGTTTTGCAGATTAACTAACACAGGAGAGAATATGCAAAACAGAGTTCAGACGATATATTCGAAGTTTAAAACAACTAAAACAGGGTATCACAAAAAAAAAAATAATAATAATAAAATAACATATAATAAAATAAAACAGGGAAACTTAAATCCAACTCATCCAAAACCGTTAGAATCTAAGTTAAACGTTTTATCTATATCACTTTTTGTCATAACGCAAGAACAAGAAACCTAAAACAGTTTTAAAAACTTGTCTAATCAAATAACCACATTGAAACCACCAGAAATTCAAGTACATAAAATTCAAGAACTTATAAAACTTTACCTCACTGCACCTCTTTTCTCACAATTAAAGCCATCATAACTGCATTTTCACCATATCAAAACTACATATACCCAGTGAAGCAGAAACCAGAAAGTGATGTGTGCATAATGTGAAAATGTTACTTGTATTATTTTAGTTTCCAAAAGTTTCGTCATCTTACTAAAATTGTCAACTCAATAAGAAATTCAACCCTTCAAAAAACAAAATTTGTAAAGTCAAAATCTTTGAAGAACTAATACAACACAACTAACATCTTTTAAGGACCAAAATGAATGTTTACCCAAAAGGATTCTGTTCCGGGAAGAATTCCCGAATGAATTCTGAGGCTAGTTCCGGGATCCTAAGAGGCCGTATCCAATAATGCCGGCACTCGGCTGAGCAGTAAAGCCCGCCATAACCCCCTAACCTGAGTCGTGGGACTATCCCACAATCTCCTAGACCTAGTCACCACCATTGCACCCACAAAGCGGGTTTTTTGCTCTGGATCATCCCACCTTCTCTCAACTTCCACCAAGGCCCTATAAAAGGTTGGAAAGTGTCAGAGGAACACAACTTGCACATCAAGCATTTGCTAACTACCAGAATCCAGAGACTACACTATCTCTCAAGTGTTCACCCCCCCCCCCCCCCTCTGATTTTTACCATCGGACCAACGGTTGGAGATACTGAGCTTCCCTTTCCAGTTATCCCGTTCCCATTGTTCCGTAGATTGAAACACTAGCTCCCTTACCAAACACTTCCTGTTCAACAATTTGAACAGATTCCTTTAACCATACAGTTAGAACAAACATCCTTCACATGCCTCCATCTATAACAGTACCTCAGCTCAAACATACACACATAGAGCAAGCTTTGTCATACAAAACCCATTACAATCAAATAAAAACAACTAATAACTGAGTAAGCAACTAATAATAGCACTATCAGAGACATAAACAACACAAAATCTAACAACACCTGAAATACAGGTAATAAATCACCAATAATCACGATAATAATCAACAACATTCGCGAACCCAAAAAATATAAAAAAGAAAAGAAAACTATATATTCTAAATCATAAAACTTAACACATTGTTGAAAGAAAAAAGGTGATTTATCACAAAAGAGCCATCATCATATTAACAATAAAATCCCAGTAACATAGTACAACCTCTTTTGATTCTTTTCCTTCTACATCACAAAATATCGAAACCCTAATTGTTCCACCCTAATAGCGATACTCTAAATGTTCAAAAAGAAAAACCCACAAATTGTTCTACCGTAAGGATGATGATAATGATGATGAATAAATGGCCTTAATTGATATCAGCATCATCGAAATCGTCTTCGAATGTGTTGAAGAAATCGGCATCTGCGAGTTTGTTGTCTGCGGAGATGACGCCATCCGCAAAGATCTCGAGTGGATCGATGTCGTCCACGTCCATCGCCATCGCCGATACCTGTTCATCCATCTCTCCGAACAAGTCCATTGTTCTCGGGATCCTATTTTCTCTCTCGTGAAATTGGAGCATCAAATTAGGGTTTTATATGAACAGAGCGACTCCAAGTCCAACGATGTCGTTTTATTGACGATGCATTTCTATCCTATTGTGCATAAAAATTAATTCAGAATAAAAAATAGTTTTTTATTTTAAGAATAAAAAATAAAAAATGTGTTTGATAAAGTCTGTTTTATAAAAAAAAAAAGATTATACTTATTTTCTTATTTTGGAGATTAATTTACTATTTTTTTTACTATCTCTTACTATAAAATTTTAACAGTTGATTTCTACAATCTAACAGATATAATTTATTAAAAATTAAAATTATAACCAATAAGTTATACGATTAGATTCGCGGAAGTCAACGATTAAGATTTGGTAGTAATAGGTAGTAAGAAAAAAAAAAGAGGTTATATTTACTACCTTTTTTTTCTAAAAACTAAATTAATTAATAATTGTAACCTAATAAATTATATCGTTAGATTGACGAAAATCTACGATTAAGATTTGGTAGTAAAAAAAAGAGAGGTTATACTTAGTACTTTTTGTCTTACTATCAAATCTTAACAGTTGATTTTTGTTAATCTAACAGTTATAATTTATTGAGTCACACTTATTAATTAATTATTAATTTCCAATAATTTATAATCATTATATTGGCGAAAATTAACTATTAAGATTTGGTAGTAAGAGGTAATAAAAATCATAAATATTTTTAGTTTTTAGAATCAAATTTAAAGAACATATTTAAGGTATTTTTATTTTATGTTTTAACTTTTAACTTTCAAAACAATAAAAAAATTAAAAAATATATATATATTTCATTAGGCTTTAATGTTTCTACGGTGAATGTGGATAAGTTATCAACATTCACTCCCAAAATAATGTCGTTTTGGGTTGAAAGATTAAAAAATTATAATGAGAAAGATTATTATAACCCTGAAATAAATTATAATTACAAAAATATCTTGATTTCAGCCCCAAAACGATATTATTTTGGGCTCAATGTAGATAACTTATATACATTGACGGTAGAAAAAACGAACCTATTTCATTATCTATTCTACAAAAGTGCTGAGAACCAAAAAAAATAAAAACACAATCAAACGGAATCTAAATTACTTCCAAATTCTATTTAATGTCATATTTATAATTTAAATAGAGAGCTAGGGGTGATAAATGAACCAGGGGCCTTTGGCTCGGCTCGTGAAGGCCTGAGCTTACATGCCTAAAATTGGTTGTTGGAACCAGGCTTGGACTTGTATAAAAGCTTGTTTAATAAAAAGGCCTCAGGCTCCAATTCAAAAGCTCGGCCTTAGAGTCTTTCAGGCTGACTTAGTATATTAATTTTTTTATATATACTATTTGTAATAGCTCTCTCTCCTGAATCCATTTCACCCCATTTTATTGGTTAAACAGAATTTTTGAATGATTTTGGTCTATATTATGTTGTTTGGATATACATTGAATTTATGAATATTTATAGAATTACTAGTCATGTTGATTGTATATTCTGTTTGGATAAATTTTTGTTGTCTTATTTTTTTTAAACAGACTAACAGGCTAAATCAGGCTTTTATTTTTTGTAAATAAGTTAGGCCACAGGCCGATAATTATATTCATAATAGGTAACAGACTTGGTCAGGCTAACATATTTAAACACAAGCTTAGCATTTTAAGACCAAAGCTCGGCTCGGCCCGTTAACACCCCTATAGAGAACTATTGATTCCGTTGTAAGAAGAATAAGTCTCACTTTTCATCTCCGTGCATTTCACTATTATAATTTAGGGTTTTATTAATCTCATGTTAAAGGAGATAAGTTATCTCATGTTATAAAGACAAACTTGTGGGCTCCACCACCTGGTAAAAAAAAAGTGACATAATTATCAAAGTGTGTGTAGGAAGAAAAAGTTATCTCACGTAACATGAGTTTTTTCCCTATAATTTATTAATATTAATAATTAATTAATGTGTATAATTCAATAAGTTATAACCTTGAAATCTACAAAATTAACCATTGAAATTAGTAGTAAGATTTATTCTTCTTATGTCAGAGTTAAAATATTATTTCCCTCTTAATTCATATATATTTTATGTAATAATTTATTTCCAGGGAAAAGTTGATAAACTCCCCGATGGTTTATTCCTTCATCAGTTATATCTTTATGCTTTTTTTATCAATTATCCCTGTGATTTTTTTCATATAGTTAATGTTTATTTTACCCTTATTTTATGTTTAGAGTTTTGTTTATTGATCTGGATAAAATACAATAGGTTCACCAAGGGCTAAAACCCAAAAGATTAAGGCCCAAAACATAGGGCCCGAACAAAGCGCGATATCTCCATCGCGCGTAAAGAGTCAAGGGCAGTGTTTTAAAACTCGGACCGGTCATCGACTCGGCCGAGATACTGGGTCAGTGGTTCAACCGGGTTCAACCAGATTTCAAAATAATATATAATAAATATTATATATTATTTTTTATACTGATAATTACCTTCATTTATAAGATAATCACAATTATGCTGCTAATACAGTGCACCTAAATGAAAATCATTTGACCGTCGAAGACAAAAAAAAAGGTAGAAGAGAGAGGCAACATCAAAAACGAAGAACACATATAATATAACAGTTTTATACAGTCTCTAAATTTAAAGAATTTGGAACTAATTAAGCCAATAACAAAACACCAACAACGTTCCATTTCCCCCATTCCAATTCCTAGTAAGCCAGTTACGGTTGAGCATAACGATGTCGTCAAGCGACCATAGGTCCATGAAATTGTTGTCCTACTCAGCACCGCCACAGCTTTCTCCCGGAAGCGGCTGCTGCTATTCATCATTCTCCAAGCCTAGGAACCATTGAAGGTTCGAGATTTGTTGCATCAGGTCAAGTTCCTCGCCGCCAACACCGCCGTGCACAGTTGTGAAAGACGGTGGCTCTATGGGTTGGGAGCTCGCTTGATCACTCAGCTTGGGGCTGAGGCATCGCTTCTTAGACGGGGGCTGCGGTGGCGGAGTGGGAGGAGTGGAGGTGGCAGGAAAGTTGAGCTTGGCCCACTTTCCCTATGGCCTTTGTCTGATTCTCTGAATTCAAGTCCCGCATCGACTAAAGTATAACAAAACATACTCTTTATAACCCACTTGAGGAATGAAAAAGAACAAAACTTGAACTTTGCGGTCAAGCTTGTCCGGTTTAAAGTGAGTCACGGGTCTCCGGTTTTCATGCAAACCCGCCGGGTTGATTCGATTTTTACTACTTTAAATGCATAACTGATCGATGTGTTACTCGAATCAGTCAGATGTCCGGTTCACTGATTTTTTCGGGTTGAACCGATTTTTACTGGTTTAAATGCATAACTGATCTGATGTGTTACTCGAACCGGTCAGATGTCTGGTTCACCGATTTCTGGGTTGAACCGATCGGTCTGAACTGGTTTTTAAAACACTGGTCAAGGGACGCGATGGCTTCATCCTGCCTAGACCGCCTTTAAACATGACTTCAGAATTAAGGAATAGATCAATAAAGTACGAATAAGGAGCCACCGCGCCATAGAACCAATTCACAAAAGACAGCTCTATCTTGCCACAACTCTACCAAGATAGCTTGACATAATAAAGATAAGGCCAGAAAGGGATCAGCTGAACCTGCAGCCCATAAACAGCCAATCAGAAAGTATACCGCCTACCAAAGGCGGCATCAGATTCACTATATAAACAAAGAATACATACCCAGGTATGATCATCTAATTCAGTAAGAATACAACATAAGCCTGACTTTGATACTGACTTGAGCGTCAGAGTGTCATTGCAGATACCCACCCCAATCGAAGGCATCGCGCCAAAGGAGAATCATTTCATTCCCTCCATCGTCAACCATCAACAGCCCAAGAACCCAAAGAGTGGATAACCTAACCCCAAGTCTTCTCTCATCAACCGTGTGTGATTAGGCCCATTACTTATTGGCCAGCCCATATAGTATTGGTCTGATCATTGGCACCGTCTGTGGGAATTTATCTCTTAAAACCCAGTCATTCACAAATCTAAAAGCATGGTTGATACCAGAAGCAAGTCCCCGAACAATTCCAATGGAAAACAAAAAGAAACACCAGCTTCCCGCAAAAAGTCAGCTTCATCAGTCGCACCACTCTCTGTACATCACGAGAATCCACCTACAACCCAACACCTGTTGAAACTCATCACCCGACAAAACAAAAAAATCGCTCAGCAGAATCGAGATTTAGCTCGATTCAAAAAATTACAGAAAGCTAAAGAAAAAAATCAGGAAAAAGAAAAAGAACTAGAGAGAGAGATTGAAAAAGAACTTGAAAATTCTGGTGAAAGTGAACCAAGACATGAATATTCGAAAAAAGATCCTGGACCCTCTGGTCAGAGCAAGAAAGGAGAAGAAGAAATACCTGAAAATTCTCAGGGAAACTCTAAGATAGTTTCACGCATCTTACATCCTTTTACCCCCTGTGTCATGAGTGTTACCATTCGCAAGGACATAAAAGTTACAACTGAAAAGTATAATGGAAAGGGTGATCCGCAAGAACATCTGGAGCAATTCCAACATGATGACACAAGATGTTGATGATCTGGTAGCTTGCAGATTATTTCCAACAACACTGAAAGAAATCGCGCTCAGGTGGTATTCCGCTTTGCCAACCAATTCAATCCAAAGTTTGGAGGATCTCACTAGTCAGTTCCTCATGCGGTTCGCAACAAGCAAAGCACAATACAAATCTACTCATGCCTTGAAAACAGTACGGCAGGGAGCACATGAAACTTTGCGCGATTACCTCAATAGGTTTTTTGATGAAGTGCTCTTGGTGAAAGACCTAGACTCACAAGTTTCCTTACATCTCATCATCGAGGGACTGCTCGAAGGTCCTTTCTCTATATCATTGGCCAAACACTGCCCACGCACCATAGAAGAACTTAGAGCGCGATCTGAAAAGTTCATTAACCTTGAAGATTATAAACGATCCCGGGATACTTCCGGCATAAAACTAGAGATAGACAATTTTGAAA